GGCGGAGACGGTGACGCAGATGAAGGAGGTGCCGACGGTGACGCGGACGGAGGCGATGGCGACGGCGACGCGGAAGGAGGCGACGGCGACGACGATGCGGACGACGGCGGCGTTGACGGCGGCGGCGACGACGGCGAGGCGGACGGCGGCGGCGGCGAGGGCGAGGCCGACGGCGGCGGCGGCGACGGTGAGGCGGACGGAGGAGGTGGCGTCGGTGACGCGGACGGAGGCGGTGGCGACGGCGACGCCGAAGGAGGCGGCGGCGACGGCGAGGTGGACGACGGCGGCGTTGACGGTGGCGGCGGCGAGGGCGAGGCGGACGGCGGCGGCGGCGAGGGCGAGGCGGACGGCGGCGGCGGAGACGGTGAGGCGGACGGCGGCGGGGGAGACGGTGAGGCGGACGGCGGCGGTGGCGAGGGCGAGGCGGACGGCGGCGGCGGAGACGGTGAGGCAGATGGAGGAGGTGGCGACGGCGGCGGCGGCGAGGGCGAGGCGGACGGCGGCGGCGGCGAGGGCGAGGCGGACGGCGGCGGCGGAGACGGTGAGGCAGATGGAGGAGGTGGCGACGGTGAGGCGGAAGGAGGCGGTGGCGAGGGCGAGGCGGAAGGAGGCGGCGGCGAGGGCGAGGCGGACGGCGGCGGCGTTGACGGTGGCGGCGGCGAGGGCGAGGCGGACGGCGGCGGCGGCGAGGGCGAGGCGGACGGCGGCGGCGGAGACGGTGAGGCAGATGGAGGAGGTGGCGACGGTGAGGCGGAGGGAGGCGGTGGCGAGGGCGAGGCGGAAGGAGGCGGCGGCGAGGGTGAGGCGGACGGCGGCGGCGTTGACGGTGGCGGCGGCGAGGGCGAGGCGGACGGCGGCGGCGGAGATGGTGAGGCGGATGGAGGAGGTGGCGACGGTGAGGCGGAGGGAGGCGGCGGCGAGGGCGAGGCGGACGGCGGCGGTGGCGAGGGCGAGGCGGACGGCGGCGGCGGAGACGGTGAGGCGGATGGAGGAGGTGGCGACGGTGGCGGCGGCGAGGGCGAGGCGGACGGCGGCGGCGGCGAGGGCGAGGCGGACGGCGGCGGCGGAGACGGTGGCGGCGGCGAGGGCGAGGCGGACGGCGGCGGCGGCGAGGGCGAGGCGGACGGCGGCGGCGGAGACGGTGAGGCAGATGGAGGAGGTGGCGACGGTGAGGCGGAGGGAGGCGGTGGCGACGGTGAGGCGGATGGAGGAGGTGGCGAGGGCGAGGCGGAAGGAGGCGGCGGCGAGGGCGAGGCGGACGGCGGCGGCGTTGACGGTGGCGGCGGCGAGGGCGAGGCTGACGGCGGCGGCGGCGAGGGCGAGGCGGACGGCGGCGGCGGAGACGGTGAGGCAGATGGAGGAGGTGGCGACGGTGAGGCGGAGGGAGGCGGTGGCGAGGGCGAGGCGGAAGGAGGCGGTGCGAGG